TGACCCACCTCGAGGTTGGGAAGCTCTGAGGGTGCCTCGCTGCTCCAGTAAAAATGGGTTGAGCAGTGCCCTGGGCTGCACGGGCACCCCAGGCAAGGCAGACGGTTCCCCGTTTCTTGGAGGATGCCGATGGGGGCCGGGCTGAGAGCTGGGCTGCCCAACGTGGGCGCGGGGCAAGGGAGGAACAGGCTGGGGGCTGCGTTTGCAGCAAGAGCTGATCGCTATCATGGCAGAGCTGTTGTGCCCAGGCGTCCAGGCACCTGCAAGCCGGGGCAGGACTCCTCTCCAGCTGGGCTCCCTCCCTCCTGCCTGCCCCAGAGGAGGACATGTGCCCGTGGGGTGCAGAGGGAAGCAAGGCTGGGGCACGGCTTTGCGCCTCAGTACCGGCTGTGGGTCCTGTAGGGATCCCTCTGGGGTGCAGAGGTTGTCACTGCCTCCTCGGACCCCCCAGCCCTCCGTTAGCCCTTGTTGCAGTGGGGTTTGTGGGCTGGGGAGCAGCAGGGAGGGCTCGCTGGGGTCTCACCTTGCGGAGAGGTGATGCACCAGAGCCTGCTGTAATTGCAGCCTGGTGAAGGAGTAAATCAGAGGTTGGAGCAGTGCGGTAATTGAAATTGGATTTTGCTAGCCCAGGGCTGGTTTGTTCATTGAAGGCAGGATTATCTACTGCCTGGAGGCAGGGGGAGGCAGCGGGCTTCACCCACTGCCCCTCACCCCTCTGCAGGGGCATCACCGGGGCTGGGGCTGCCCCAGGGGCTCGTGCTGCTGGTCCAGGGCTGCAGAGGGGCCCTTTACTGGGCTCAGAGGAAGGAACCAACTGTGAGGGGCTCAGCTGGGGCTGGGGCTGGTGCTGGTGCTGGTGGGGTTTGCTTTGCTGTCCTGTGGGCTCTACCCCCGCCTGCCACCACTGCGCAGCTCTGCCAGCGCCCGGCTGGCCCCAGACTGGAGAGGAGCAGAGCCAGCATCAGTTTAACAGTATAGATCCCTTTAATGGGCTTACGAATGGCTCTGCACATGGAAGCTCTTAAATCCAGCTTCAGCTCGTGCAAAACCGCCTGTACCAGAGCCCCTGCGTCGCGGCACAGTCCTTGCAAGGGCACGTGCCTGCCTGGCCGGTGGCAGCTTGTGAGCAGACGGGCGCTGGGCCACCCGCGGCACCAAGTGTGTCGGCAGCTTGGCCCCGCTTCCACCAATGATTTGGGCCTGTAAAAATCCCCGTTCCTCTGCTCTTTCATTACCCTGGCTGAAAGCCACCTCCTTCAGCGGCTTGAGCTAAAGGGGTTCATTTGATAGAGCCTGCGGAGGAGCCTCCATCCCTGGCAGCCACGTTCCCGCAGCGGGCGCAGGTCTCTGACCTCCCTCCTGAGCTGGGATTGAAGCCAGAGGAGGTGGCGGTGGTGCTGGGAGGGCTTTGGTGGCAGTGGCGAGGATGTGGGGAGCTGTACCCAAGCATGCAGCACCCCGCGTGAAATTGCCTTCAAATCTGGGTCAGCACAGGGACTAGTGAGCCCGAAAACCAGCCCAGAGCAGGAATTACTGCTTCATTGTTTTCTACCCCTCGTTAGCAGCCTTCATTCAGCGATTTCAGAGGGCTTTGCAAACATGAATGAAGGATGCTTTACTGCTTGATGCGTACTCCAGGACCTGTACCTGGAGGAGGAGGAGGAGGTGGGAAGAGAAGTGATTATACCGTCTTAAGGAGAGGTAGAAGCTTTGGGGAGATCCAGCAGCTCATAGCTTTAACATGCATAAACCAGTGAGTGTAAAAGCAACGAGGAGCCCAAGGTAGACCCTGATCTTCTGCCTTTTAGCAAAGATGCTGTGCCCGGTGGCCTCCCATCCAGCCCCTCGGCTGCGGGAGCTAACCTGTCCCTGCCATTAAGGAGCACTGCTTTCACTCCAGCCTCATTCCTGGAGGTTAGTTGTGTCTCAGTACGCTCAAGAAAAGTCCGCTGCCCTTTTAATGCTCAGTAATTGTCCTAGCAAGCAGCAGAATTCAGCTAGTATTTAATTATTTATTGCATTGGCAAAGCAATATACCGTGAGGTTACAGTGTTTCCTAAATGCACTTTATTAAAGGTACTATTTGTCACCGGAGCATTAGGAAACCTGTCGAGGCAAAGGGGGTTGGCCTGAAGCGGGAGGACTCTGCAGGCTGCCCGGAGTGTGTTTCCTTCCCCATGACCAGCAGCAGCAGCAGGAGCCGCCCTTGGCCCCGGGGGGGGGCCGTTGCACCCATGTAGCATCACCCAGCATCACCCTGAGGGTGGTGGCGAGGCCAGGCGCGGGGTGATGGGCTGAAAACCCACAGGCGCTGGAGACAGCCCAACCTGGCATCCCGCCGGGGTCTCCCTGGCCAGCCACCCAGCTCTGCCCCCCACATTTCCAAGGAACGGCGCTGAGGAGCTGCTGGGCTTGGAGCAAGCCCTCCCGCCTTGCTCCCTGCCTCTTAATGAGATTGTTCTCCAGCACAGGGTTTCAAGTGGCTCCTTAATTACACAGGATAACTGCTGCCGCCTTGGGCTAATAATAACTCGGTAGAGCACGCGTGGGCTGGAGCGGTCCGGGCTGCCGGGGCCCGTCCCCGGGGCAGACCAGGCTCACCCGCAGCGAGGGCACCCGGTGCGGGCAGGGATCCTGCCGAAAGGGCTGCCGGGCACAGCAGAGATCGATGCTCCGGGCCGCTGGTCAGCCTCTGACTGGGGCTTTCGAAGTCCAGCCATTGATTTTTTTTTTGATTTTTTTTTTTTGTTTTGTTTTCCTGTGGCTGCTGGGGTTTGAGGCGAGTGTTTCCTCTCCTGAGAGCTGTGGCCGGCTCTCCTGAAATCAGCCTTTTCTGGAGTTACACGAGGGACAGGCAGCAAAAGCACGTGGGTTTGCACTGAAATCAAAGATGGGAGAGAGGGGCTTTGCTCCCAGCCTGGGGACAGATGGACCGTGCTCAGGTTCCCTCCGGAAAGTGCGGATTGCGACGGATGAGCCCCTGGAGCGCAGCGTGGGTGGATCAGTGGTGGGGATGCTCTGGGGCTCAAACGATGAGGCTCTCCGGTCGGGTCTGTATCCCCCCACTGAAATATTCCCATTTTCCCAAGGTGCATCAGAGGCAGAGCAGAGTGAAAAACAATCTTTACAGTGTTTTTTTAGGCAAATGCTTTTTTTTTGCAACAACAATAAAACAATCCAATGTTGAGTATAGACCCTAAAACTTTCAGCTTGCAGCTGGCCCAGCCTCTGCGGACGTAGTCATGAAACACGGAGCTTTCAAATCTAAATTCCCTCAACTCTTGAGGTCAGTTTGAACGCAGCCGCTGCCAAACCTGAGCTTGCAGCAGGACCCAGCCGTCAGGCAGCTGCAGGCAGCAGCGCAGACCTGCCCGCCCAGCCACAAGTTCCCAGCCAGCAAGAATTAAGCTGAGCTGGTCCAAAATGGGCTTTTCCTTTTGCTGCAGGGCAGTGCTTTAAACGCTTTTTGGTTTTCCCTTCCCAAATTGCAGATTGCCACGCCGGGGGGTGCCCGCGCCCGGCCATAGCCTCAGTGGTGGCCGAGGTTATTCGCTGTGGTTTTTAATTTGCTTTTTCTCCCCCTTCTCTTTCTTCCCTCCTACTCTAGGAGAAGAATTTTATGAAGCTTCCCCCTATGAGCCGGTCACCTCTCGTCTCTCAGATATATTCAGACTTGCTTCAATTTTCTCAGGTAATAAAAGCAACATGCTTCCGCTGTTTTATCTTCTTTTGCACGTGAACGTAGACCTGCTACTGAGCACCCTGGCAAGGAAAACCTGCAGCTCCTTCCCCCATGGTTTGGTCCTTTGCTCCTCCAGCTCCTATGGCCGCTCTCCTGCCCGTCTCTTCTCCCCGTCACCCCAGACCTGATGCCTTGAGCATCCCCCAGGGATGACACGTGTGCCCCTGCAGCTGGCCGGGATGCCAGTGCCTGACGGAAGGGAGTGATGTAGGGGCTGGTTCCCGAGTGCTGCTGGCGTTTGATGCACTTTGGGACAGATCCTCTCTGTTTCAGACCTTCCCGGTGGGATCAGACGTGCTGGGAGCGGGTGAGCCCCGGCTGAGGCAGGGGCTTGCTTTGAGCCCCTGCCCGGCAGCGATGGCAGAGCCACGGGCAGCAGCCCCCTCCTCGGGCTTCCTATTTCCCCCCAGGCTGTGATTTAGGTTTTTTTTACCTTTTGGACTCAGCTGCCTCCAACCGTGGGCTTATATCAAATAGCTGAGGTGGGCTGGAGAGCCGGTAATCCCCTCGTTTGTCTTGCGGACGTGTCCCCTCGTGCAGCCGAGTGTCACGGCATTAAGCAGGGGAGGAGGGGGAGGCGCAGGCACAGCCCGGGCTCCAGGAGGGACCAGGCCCTCCCGCTGCCCATCCGTCGCTCAACGTAAAGCATTTTGTCTTCTGGAAGATTTGGGACCGGCAGGACGCCCCATCTGTGGGGAAGCTGGGGGGGACTCTGCTGTCCCTACCCGGGGCAGCCGGCCTCAAGCCAAGCTACGGGATGCTGCAGGGAGAAGGATGCCGAGCCCTTTGGAGCATCTCTCTGCCTCCACGTCCTCCTCTCAGGAATCCAAACTCCACCATCATCCTCAGGAACTTTTTTTGCCATCTATTTCCATGACAACCCTCCGTGCTGCCATCCCCCCCCCGCCCCCTTCCAAATTAGGTCACGCAATGCCTTGGCTTCTCCTTGCTCTTCCTCCTCTTAATCCTTTCCCCGAGAGCCACCCACCACCGTGGGGTTTTGGGGGTCCCTGCATCCCCAGACTTTGCGGGGTGCACATGGGCAGAGGGTGGTGGCACCCCGGTGACCCTGGAGCGATGCCGTGCCCCCCTGGGCTGCGCAGCCCTGCCCACAAGCACCCCGGCTCGCGTGGGGACACCTCGGAGGAGGGCTGTGACGCCACATCCCCTCGCTGCTGTCACCTGATGGGTTTTAGCTCCCGAAGCAAATTTGCCAGGCTCCCTCCGGCGAGCTTAGCACCGGTTTGGGATGATGATGCCACCCCCTCCCGTCTCCCGCACGCCTTTTTGGATTACATTAGCGTCAAGGAAATATTTTAGCTGCTGGAAAGTATGAAAAGCAAAGTGTCTGGAGTGGGGGATTAAACGCTCATGGGTTGATTTATTCATAAAAGCAAAACAAGAGGAGAAGGAAGTCTGTCTGGCAATTTTGGGGCTGGGAGAAGTGGGAATAGGCTGCTGTTACACTCCAGAGATGTGCCGTGGCCATC